GCAAACACAGAGGAGAATATTGTTTAAGGTCCTCCTTTTGGTGGGAAGAAAAGTAGGGTAATTGTCAGTGTTAAATGTCCAGTCTCCTCCCTGGCTGCAAGGGTCCACTCAGAATGGGAAATGGAACTGTTAGAGAGCGGGGCCTGCTTTGGTCTCTCCTTAGAAGAATCACTACAGCTGTTGCTGTCACCATGTAAACAAGTCTTTTTTGGAGTTTGAGCTTATAAAAAATTTCTTATATCTATAATACATTTAAGAAGACTAATGGTTATGAGCTTCCATAGTATAATGATATATTTCATACTTATGTTTCTTCCTTGTCCAACAAGACCCATTAATCTTTATTTAAAATGTGTTTTTCTTTGTTGATCTTTTGTGTCTATTTAAATGCTACCATCTTGGCTAATTTCTCCATTGTTTTCACAAATTATTTTGCCCTAAAAATAGCAAATGAAATAAACTTCATTTAGAACAAAATATATAATGCTTTCAGCCAAGTACATATACTAAGCAATGAATGCAGGTAATTTATATACACTTAGAAATTTCTTTTAAAAGAACCTTACCTAAATTCTGTCCTTTGGGGAAGCAAGGACAAACATATGCATTTGAGTAAGAACTTTTGTTGGGATTCTACCCAATAAACTATGTAACAATTTATTTATCATTCCATTAATGGAATGAAGCATGCAAATTTCACTAAGCTGGGCATACTGATTTACATTTTTTCAATTTATCTGCCACTCTCCCCTCCTACCCTGCACCCTAACTCTCTCTTCACCGTTAACTACAGACTGAGAGTGAAAAAAACTTTTGGTTTCCGTTGACTGCAAGCTAATTTCAAAGTTAATAAATTCCCAAGTAAAGGAGAGGCAAGCAATTTCTACCAAAAAATTAAATTTAGAAAGAATACTGCAAAGTCAAACATCTAATCATAAGCCTGAAAGGGTGGCATGTTACTGACTTGCCCAAGCAAGATTTATTTACTTGTTTTTTAATGATTTCTAGTGAGATTGCCTTTAAACTGGAATTATTGTTAAAGCTACTTGTGTACTTAGATTTAGGAGGAGGCATGTTTTAAAAACACTTAGCAGATTGCATGTAGTTTGTTTTTTAGTTACATTAGAATCATTTTGAAAGACTTAGGTTTTTGTTTTGTTGTTTCTGTCCTCTCTATCATTAAGAGGTTATAAATATTCTTAAATTAGAGATTATTTTAGCTATTTTTTTTATTCCCCTTGGCATCTACTGAATTCAACTGCTGCTGAGGGAAAAGAAGTAAAGACCTAACTATTGAGTAGAATAAAAATTTTAAGGAAAACATTATTTGAGTCTGAAATGGTAGGTGGCAATAAGAAAACCAGAATAATAAACAATTAGGGTTTCCATGTTTCATTGCCAAAAGCCACATTCTCCTCAAAATGTAATTCTTGTGTAGCCTGTAACTAACCTTCAATCCTGTATGTCCCAATGCCATTTTTCATTGGCTCTTCTTATTTTATACTAGAGGCCGCGTGCACGGATTCGTGAACAGGTGGGGTTCCTCAGACTGGCCTGCAAGGATTGGGCTGAAACCAGCTCTGCGACATCTCCCGAGGGGTCCCAGACTGTGAGAGGGTGGTTCTAGAGTGATGCACACTGGATTTGGGCTTCCCTCTTCTCTGGTTCCAGGTGCATCACCCAAGAAATGCAGTTGCCAAGTCACTGCAGCTCAGCAGCTCCTGCACTGACTGTATGCCCCTGGTGGTCAGTGCACATCATAGCTACCAGTTGGACAGTCAAATGGTCAAACGGTCGCCGGTCACTTAGGCCTTTATATATATATATATACATACACACACACACACACACACACACACACACACACACACATAGTTTCTTCTCTTTTTCATGTGAGGTACCTATATAATGTTAAAACAGACTTTATAAAACAAATGCCTCTTGTGAAGGATTCTTATGGTTCTTCTTTGGAACCAACTAGTCTTTAGAGGAAAAGGAAGCCTTTAGTAACAAGGATTAAAAATCTTACTACAAAGGGAGGAAATGCTCAAGGTCAAAGTCTCAGATGGTTCATTTTCAAGAGCAAGAGAATGTGTGTGTTTAGGCTAAGCAGGGATGGGGGACAGAGTTCTTACCTGTTGACACTAATCACGCTTGACCCTAGCAGGTGTAAAACACCTTAAGGTTCAAATACCTTCAGAAAGGGATGGAGTCCCTTTCCAGCACGCTTTGAGCTATGTGACGAATAAAATAATATTATACAAAAGTTTAATGATTAAAACAACTAGATGAGGTGAGAACTAATAAAATCTCCCATTTCACAGATGAGGAAATCAAGAGATAAAGTTTAAATGAATTTGCTCACATCCCTCAGTTAGAAAGAGATGGAAGCTGGGATTAGAACCCAATCAGAATAGCTTCCTAATCCATAATCACAATCATCCATCTTTTGGAAAATTCAGCCTCCAATCCAGAACTAGCCCACATTTTACATCCCCATCCCTCTATAGTCATGTCCTTAAGAGGCTTACTATTTATTAGAGAATCTATTAAGTCTATCATAACCAAACATAGAACCTCCCCTTTGCCTTTCTTCTCAACCTTGTCCCCAATGATGCTTGAAGACAAACTACATCAAGTATTGGGATGGGCAGGTCTTATAGACCACGAGACAGGCCAGATGTTTTGGCATATTTTATTGAATGAGTTACTGTCTTGATGTGGTGAGATCACAGGGAGGAGACGGGAGGGAAGGGAAAAGAAAGAAGAGTGAAATAAAACAAAAATGGTTTGAAGAAATCTGCAGTAAAATCCAGATTCCTACTAAAATGAAAAACTCATCTTGGGTCAGTGTGTGGCTGGGCTTTGCTATGAAAGGAAATCAATATTTTACTTGACAACTTCCATGCTAACCACCACTGTCATTTTTCACTGCCATTTCACTGTCACCTTCTCACAGTAAATAAAGAATAGTGTAACACACACTTTCTCCCCTGAGGTTTGTGAACATGATCTTGATTGTACAATGGCAACAAATCACCTGGCAAATTCTTGGCAGACTAAATCAACGAACATATGTTTACCCAAGGTGAACAGTAGCCACTGGACTGGATGGTAACTACATTTGCTTTCAGACAGCTCCATCCAACATGGTCTACAGCTGCGCAATAATTTACCCACAGTCGCAGGCTACCATAAGGTGGTATACCACTAAAATCTAAAAGCTTCAACATGAAAAATGTTCCTGTCAATTTTCATTTCTGACATAACTGGGCAAAAGCCTCACAAATTCTCCCTCAGAAAGACTTCATTATTTGCCATGCTAATACAGCTAGACTGAAAACAGACTTGTTAACCTGTATCCACACTATTGCTTCAAAGAATGTGCAGAACATATTCATCATGTCACAATCCAACACCTTTTATTTCCCATTCAGGATTGTAGCTTCAGAAATGGCAGCATTTGCTTTGCTAAAAAACATCTTAAAAAATACCTTCTTAACAGATAGGTGGTTGCCAGTGACAGGGCTAGAGGAGTGGGCAAAATGGGTATGGGGAGTCAAAGGTACAAACTTCTGGTTAGAAAATAAGTCATGGGATGTAATATCCAGCATGGCAAGTAGAGTTAATAATACCGTACTGCATATTTAAAGGTTGCTGAGAGAGTATGTCTCAAAAGTTCACACCACAGGAAAAAAAATTCTGTAACTATGTATGGTGACGAATGTTTAACTACATTTATTGTGACCATTTTGCAATATATATACCAATAGCGAATCGTTCAGTTGTCCACCTGAAACCCATATAATGTTTGTAAGCCAATTATACCTCAATAAAAAATGCATTCCTTATATAGTAAGCTGAAGCTACTTTCCTTCCTGGGTCTTTTTCATAATGTAATTTTTTAAAACGCCGCAATGAGTGGGGAGGGATGGGGGGTTGGAATGGGGGATTGAGGACAAATATGTGATACCTTAATCAATAAAGTAATTTTAAAAAAACAAAGCTGCAATGAAAGTCAGAAAAACTAACAATCTCACTGTACCATATTTTTATAACTTCTTTCAGTTTCCACAGTATGTATGTCTTGCAGAACTCTATTCTACATAGATTACATAGTTTAAAAGTCACATAAAACATAATGAAGGACATATTTTAACTGGTACATTTCCATATTACGTGTGATTCAAATGTGTCACCCTTCTTAGCAAATTCATTAAAAGAAACTGATTTCAAATTCATTCAAAAGAAATCTAACATAGTTTTTTAAAAGGTTAGAAACAAACAGAACTCTGTTAAAAATCACGTTTTCAACATACATTATCTTATCCTGAACTTCTAAAATAGTCACATTCATGATCAATCACTGTGTTGTATTTGATCAAATGCACATTTCATTTATGCTTCTGTAGAATGATATGATTTACAAACTGTCTCCTTGAAAACAGTCTAGTAACACAAAAGACATTCTGACTGCTGCCAATGATAAAACTGAGTGTAAACAATTCAGGCATTCTACGATTGCTCAGACTTAATCTAATCTGTTTCCACAGACAACCTGAGTGCCTGTGGGACTAGGGGCTGAATACAGTCTGAACTGCTTCCAATATAGTCTGCACCCGCTTTTTGTTTCCGTAGTGAATGTATCTTTGTGACCGCTCTCAAATTCCGACAGTCTGCTTATAAATAAATCAAAAACTGCCCACCAACTATTTATATCACCAATTACTCTAAATCTAGTTATTATGTCTATATTACTGATTACAATCAATAAGTACAATGTCGACTTTCAAGAGCTATTAATTGAAGGGTACTTTGCATCGAGGACAAGACCCGGTGGAAACATCAACAATAAAACCAAAAGCAAAAAAAAAACAAACACAACACACAAAACAAAACAAAATAACTATGTGATCCTTAGCCTATTATTTTGGAGAGAAATATACGCATAAAAAAATATAAACGTAAGTAAGTTTAAAAACCAGTGACTCAATGCTTACTTTCAGTAGATCCTTGGAGAAATCACCATCCTCATTGACCCCTTGGAGGTTTGCAATGAACTCTTGGCAAGACATCTTCTTTCCAATATTCTGGAACAGAGGCAAATAATACATCATAATGACATCTATGAAACTGAGATTCTAAAAAATGTGATTAAGTAATGCAAGATTGATTTGTTGTTTCAAAGCATGAAAACACACATATTCCTCAATATACTAGTATGTGTATATATCCATCCATACAAACAATAAAAATTTATATGCTTAAGAAAAGCAGATGGTTTTTATGCTTTTAACATTGTCATTAAAATAGCAAAATTATGCCAAACCTTTGTTTTAACCTAAGGAAAACATACATGCTACATTTATATAAGTAATATATAATGTTGATTTTAATGAAAAAACATGGATACAAATGACATTTCTGAGCTGAAATCTGATAGTTTTCCTTTTTATTTGTATTTCCTACATATTGTTAAGAACTGTGAAGATCTGAGATTTTAGTCTACTTCCAAGCTAACAGGTTAGCCCATCACAATCTCATGAGTACTGGCAGAACGAGTAAGACTCCTTGGTGAGAGGCACACAAATTTATTACAATAGGAGTAGCCAGAATATCAGCATATTCTTGCTCCAGAGCATCTTGAGCAGGGCCGGCTGACACCTGCACACGTAGTGCATTGAGACAGAGGAAAGGATCCCTGAGCTTTGGGAACCCGAATCTTTGTAATGGGCAGTAAATTTCTCCCTTTGCTCTGAAGCTATAAGCAAACCTATCCAATGGCTCTGGAGTCACTCCATCTTCCCTAGCTCTTCACTATAGAAATAATCTTGAAAAACAGACCAGAACAAAGGCAACCAAAGCTTCTGTTCACAAAATAAAAAGCAAGACCCCCATGTAGAACTGTCTCCAAACACATTTCCCAGGTGATTTAAGGATACGTTGTTGTTTTTAAAAATCATATAATAAAATGTAATTAGAAAATCTAAACTACAAAAAAGACACAGGCAGGCTGGCAGAAGACTAATAAAAATGCTACGATGGAGAGCCACCTCCTATGCTAGCTCTAATCAGCTAGTAAAAGCTGCCAATTGTGGAGGATATGGAGGTTCTATCTGGACACCAAGCGAAATCTGTCTTGAGTGCAGGAGAGGGATGTAGAATACAAATGAGCAGCACAAGCATGGGCTCTCTGCCAAAATGTGGTCCAACTGAACCTGAGTATACCAACATAACAGTATCCCTGCACATAACATGCATACAAATAAAATGCATGCTCTGCAGGCAATTCTATTCATAAAAGACTAAGAGTCAGGTAGAAGATTAGTTTTCAAGTTGAGGCAGCACATTCCTTAAGTTAAAAGATTTTAAAAGGGATGCAAAGCCATGATGGTTTGAAAGGGAGCACTAGTATGTACATAAAACCTTACCTTCGAAAACCCAAATCTGCCTGAGAACAGATATACCTGTGTGTCTTAAAAGCAATCACTTGTCTCTTCCCCTTTCACAACTGCTCTTCTAATTTATAAAACAGAATAATTTGTCCATACCATGCTAATTAATTATAGTGAAAGTGCTAAAACACTGAAGTTTAAAACCTTGCCTCTTCCATCAGCAAAAAGGGCAGCTTCAGACTTCACATGAAAGATGGATGAATGTCTGAACTATGAGAACTGGCTTTGCCAATTAACTTACTTGGTAGCCTTTTCCCATAATTTGGTTAAATCTGCAGTTCTAAATTCTGATGAAAATTCATTTACAGCACAGAAAGGAATTTTAATAAAAATTACTATTTCAAAATATTATATTGAAAAAGACTGTTTCATAAATTATATTTTAAAAGACAATCTCAATTTTCCCAATCCTTTACAGGTGTTTTAGATCAAACAGGGTGCTTCATGGTAGATTGTCTAGGTCGCTTACATTTGCACATGAATTTCAGGATTGGCGGATCAATTTTTTGGGGGGGAGAAAGGCGAGCTTAAATTTTGATAGTGAATGTGTTGAATTTTAAGATCATTTCGAAGAGCGTGCACTTAAGTATTCCAATCCAAGACCATGGGATAATTTTTCAACAATGTTCAGTAGGTTACAATGTCAATATCTTGACCTAATTTTGTTAAACTTATTCTTAAGTATTTTGGTATCGCTGATGCTACTGTAAATGAAATTAATTTCATTTTCATATTGTCCATTGCTAGTACAAATCTTGTATATTTAACTTTAATTATACAGCCTTGATGAATTTTAGGTTCTAGTAGTGTTTTATTTTTTTCCTTTTGTAAATTCCTTGGCTTTTCTATCTATAAAAATCAGGTCTGCAAACAGAGATCATTTTACTTATTCCTTTCTAATTTTGATACTTTTTTTTTCTGGTCTAATTACACTGGCTAAAATCTTCAATAATTATATCAAAGTGGCCAAGAGCAGACTTTGTTCCTAATCTGGGGAACAGTTTTCTATTTTTCACCATTAAATATGTTAGTTTCGCTATCAGTTTTTCATACATGCTCATTTTCAGATTAAGGAAATGCCCTTTTATTCCTGGCTTATTATGTTTTCTTTTTAAATCATAAAATGGTGTTGAATTTTGGCAAGTCTTTATCTGTTTACTAAGATGGCCAGATGGCTTTTCCCTTTTATTCCACTAACCCCATGGTCGGCAAACGGTGGCTCACGAGCCACATACGGCTCTTTGGCCCCTTGAGTGTGGCTCTTTCACAAAATACCATGGCCTGGTCAAGTCTATTCTGAGGAAGTGGTGTTAGAAAAATTTTAAGTTTAAAAAATGTGACTCTCAAAAGAAATTTCAATTGTTGTACTGTTGATATTTGGCTCTGTTGACAATGAGTTTGCTGACCACTACACTAACCTATAATAATAAAAGTGCAATATGCCAATTAGACTGGACATCCTTCCAGACCACCTACTGGACAAAGCTGCAGCAGCGGGGACCTCTAGTATGGTATATGAGTGGCCTGGCGCACAGATTTGTGCATATTGAAAGGCAAATAATCAAAAGAATATTGCTATTTTAATATTGCTATTTGCCCTTTCTCCCTTAGCGCCTGGGAGCTGAGCAGCGGCCTCCTCCCACTGGTCACTGTCTGTGGGGCAATTGGTGGGGTGATCGGACCTCTGCCTTGGTCTAGTGCCACGTGCTCACCTGCTCTGCCATCTCACCAAGGTCCTGCTCTCATTGCAGCCAATCAGGGATGACAGTGCCTTCACTACCACCTGCTGCCAGCACTGAGTAGCCAATGCCCACCATGTTCCACACTGCCCCATGGTGGTCAATGCATGTTATAGCAAGCAAACTCCTGGTCAAGGAAACAATTTGTATATTAGGCTTTTATTATAGAGGATTAGATTAATTTTTATTTGTTGAACTATATTCATCCCTTAATTAGTCTCAAATGATTAAAATGTATAATTGTTTATATATGTTGCTGTAGTAGGAAGGCATTTTTAAAAAAAGGATTTTGTATCTATATTCACAATAAATATTCATAAAGGATGTTAGTTTTGTTACAGCTTTGATTTTATCAAGATAATACTGTCCTCATAGAATGCTTTGGAGAGTGTTCCCTGCCACCTTTTTTTCCCCCCTGAATATTCTGAGAAGCATTTATATTAAAAGTTCTTTAAATGTTTGAGAGAATTCACAAGTGAAGTCTTCTGGTCTTGTGGATAATGGTATCTTTTAAATTAATATTTGTCTTGTGTCTATCTTGGAGGATATTCTATTTGTACCTGGAAAGAGTACATATTCTGCTGTACATATTCTGGGTGGCTATGCTACAGATGTCTCTGTCAGATCAAGCTGCTCTACAGCGTTACTACAGGCCCAGTGCACAAAACTCATGCACTCGGGGGGAGATCCTTCAGCCCGGCCTGCACCCTCTTGAAGTCTGGGAGCTTTCAGGGGATGTCTGACTGCCAGCTTAGGCCCACTCCCCAGAATGGGCCAAAGCCGGCAGTCAGACATCCTTAGCGCTGCCACAGAGGAAGAGAGGCTCCCCCCACCACCGCTGTGTTCACCAGCCATGAGGCTGGCTTCTGGATGAATAGTGCTCTCCCTGTGGGGGTGCACTGACCACCAGGGGGCAGCTCCTGCATTGAGCGCCTGCCCCCTGGTGGTCAGTGCGCATCATAGTGACCAGTTGTTCTGACGTTTGGTAGATTTGTGTATTAGCCTTTTATTATATAGGATTCAGATCCTTTATTTCTTTGATATTCTGGTAGTTATTCTAAGCATAATTGAAAGTGGGGTATTGAAGTCTAAAACCATTATTGCTAAATTGTCTATTTCTCCCTTCAATTCACAAAAGCTCCAAAATGCCAATTCTAATAAACGCTAGACTCTGGTTTGCATAGTCACTATATTGTGAGGCTCTTGGTTTTCAAGATCACTGTGGAGCTAAAGAGGGGAAAGGTAACAGAGCAAGTGAAAACAATACAAAGCTTAGAATTCTTAAGGAAATTAAGTTATTTGGGTGTTTTTTCCCCTTAAATTAACACTCTTTAGATTGCTGTAAGCCAGATAATGTTGATTTTTTGCCATGTTTTTGACAGCATTTTCATTCTTTTTTGAAGGAGCAGCTTTTCAAAAGTAGTTACTTTGTCACTTGGAAACTCTCTTCCCTCACTGTGATCTTCAGATTCTAATGAAAGACTATTTTTTAATATTAATAGTTAATGTCCACATCAGAAATTCTTTTTATGTTTTAATCAAACTAGAAAAAATTTAGGTGACAACTAGGGTAATAGCTATCCCAAAATTCTTTTAGAAGAATTAGCAATATGTTTAAACCCCACTTAGTCAAAAATGCTTTTTTAGGACACAATCAATGTCTATGGTAAGGTGTGACTAAAACTTTCCTCATTTAATTATGAAGAACTGTTACTTTTTAACATTAAAAAAATGGTAAAATTCCCTAAGTTACTTTGGTATATAACATCATATTTTGTACTATTACCCCAATAAATTCAATTTAAAAAACTGAAAATATATATAATGAAATGAGAAAATTAGCCCCTTGTTTTCAAAATGTGTGTCTCATTATTGCTCTTATCTAACTGGCTTGAC